AATATAAAAAATAAATTTTTTTTAAAAAAGAAAACAATCAGGAATGAAATTACAGACTTATGTACCAGAGTGTTTATCATTGTTTTTATAGTATGGGGGGAAAAAACAGCAACAATCTATGAAATGTAATATAATAGCATCTTTAAAAAACATTTTAAGGCCAGTTTAATGACATGTTCAAATTTTATTTTGTTAGAGAAAAGGCCAATTATAAAACTACACATATCTTATTCCCCACTAATTCTGTAATCATGAAAAAATTTTTAAACACACTTTGATTGATATTTTGTGCATGTTAAACTTGGCTGACCACAATAATCTACATTTGAGATCTTGACTGTAGGAACTGAGCAGAAAGAAAAGAGTAGGAAAATTCTATCACTCATCACTAAGACTTAAGCATACTTGATTTCTAGATTAATTTTCAATGAGCCTCACATATTTCAAGATATTTCAAGGGTTTTTTTGTTAATCCTCACCCAAGGATATGTTTCCATTGATTTTTAGAGAATGAAAGGGAGGGAGAAAGACAGAGAGAGACATCAGTGTGACAGAGACACATCGACTGGTTGCCTCCTGCATGAGCCCCAACCAGGGCCAGGATAAAGCCTGGACCCGAATTGAACCCGGGATCCTTCAGTATGAGGGCCAACACTCTATCCACTGAGCCAAACTGGCTAGGGCTTTTAATTTTTTTAAAAATAGAAAAAGAGGCAGAAGTGCTATCCTTTTGGGCACTGTATATAGCATTCAACCAATAGCTGAGACTTAAATCATTCAATGTTTCCACTACCTTCATCTAAAAAGTAAAGGTAATCTGTGCTTTAATTCATTTAGGATGACTTCAAGATACTTTCTGAAAATTAGAGGGGAGGGGGGGAAGAGGGCTCAACTACATGTAATGACTGAAATCAGAAAGAAGTAATCAGTGAAGCTATTTGTGGATCTTCCATAACCTAATGTAAGAAAAAAAAAAAACAGAAAAAGAATAGATTTAGGAGTTTATATCCCAAGTCTGCTATGTGACCTCAGACATGTTCTTTAATTTCTCTTAGTCTTAATTTCCTCATCCATAAAACAAAGATAACCACAACTTACCCACAGAACTGAAATAATGATTAAACTGCCAGCACAAGATCTGGCACATGGTGGGGAATTCAGGAAATGTTAGCTATGATATTTTAAATGATCACCCAGACAGACAATGTACAATCTCAATTATATTAGCTTATCTAAAGTAAGTCCCACCCTGGACAGTGTGGTTCAGTTGGCTGAATATCAGTCTGTGCACCAAAAGGTCTCCAGCTCTATTCTAGTCAGAGCATATACCCAGGTTGTGGGTTTCATGCTTGTTGGAGCCAGATCAATGTTTCTCTCACATCTTTCTTTCTCTCTCAAAATCAGTAGCATATTTAAAAATAAATAAATAAATAAAAGTAAATCCCACCTAAGTAATAGTAGCTCTGATTTCATTGGGAGTCCAAAGTGATCATATAGTTCATTACACAAAACAGGAGCCATTGAATGTATCAATAAATTTGGCAAGTCCTTGACTGAGCAAAGGTAATGATAAAGTTTGGCTGAAAACCAGAGAGGATGAAAGGATAGTGAAAAGACAGATTTTCCTGTAATTTAAAGGGTAAACTTACAATAAATTATAAGAAATAAGAAAACAGCCAAAACCGGTTTGGCTCAGTGGATGGAGCGTCGGCCTGCGGACTGAAGGGTCCAGGTTCAATTCCGGACCAGGGCATGTACCTGGGTTGTGGGCAAATCCCCAGTGGGAGGTGTGCAAGGAGGTGGCTGATCGATGTTTCTAGCTATCTCTCTCCCTTCCTCTCTGTAAAAAATCAATAAAATATATTTTAAAAAAAGAAATAAGAAAACAAGTGGAAAAGGGAAAAAACAAAAACATGCAACAATGGCATTTAGAAAAGGTAACAGCTTTCACCAATTAGGGTCCAGTGAGAAGACAGTAAAATTGGAAGAAGTTCCTGGATAGGGCTGCTCACTTTGCATTCCTGTTCATTCCTCATCTCTACTTATCGAGGCAGAAAATGATGGCTGCGACAGAAATACGAGTTTGAAAGAAAGCATCATTAGTACAGTGCCCCTAAAAGTGCCCATTCATGTTAGTGAAATGTCCCAGATTTTAAATGACAGATTCAATTAAATGTTGCAAATCCTAATCCCAATGGACAGATGTCTACAACCCAAGTATTCCCAGCCAACACATACTCATCAATTCTTGCACACTTAATGAAAATCTAAACTATGTATCATAGAACCAAAACCTGAGTTAAGTTTTACCTCTCAACAAGACTTACGATACACTCTTCCTGGTGGGGACCATTAGAAAAACTATACTACCACTTAAAGCAGTGGTTCTCAACCTTCCTAATGCCGCTACCCTTTAATACAGTTCCTCATGTTGTGGTGACCCCCAATTTCATTGTTACAAATTGAACATAATTAAAGCATAGTGATTAATCACAAAAACAGTATGTAATTATATATGTGTTTTCTGATGGTCTTAGGCGACCCCTGTGAAAGGGTCGTTCGACCCCCAAAGGGGTCGCGACCCACAGGTTGAGAACCGCTGACTTAAAGAGACCTTTTATAAACTCCACAATCCCAGAAACTATGCTCTCGCAGTAGCTAACTGTCCTCCCAGCCAGTAAGTGGTGCTTCACGGAGTCCTCAGTTCCCTCTGAGTTTTCTTCCTGATTAGGCAAGTAAAAGAAAGATAAAGGACAGACGAAATCATAGCCATTTAAAATAGGTGCTGGCTACATCTATTTTGTAAATTACTCGAGGGAAATAAAGTTACAATACCATGAATCAGTGCAAATTTGTCGTTACAAATATACACATAGATGAGTGTCTTCTGCTAATGGTGGCTCTAGCTTTATGTGTAAATTACAACACTTCTAAAGTGTGAGTTTGGGGTTGCAGAGGAAGCCAGGAGGGTTGAGGAGTGAGGATGTGAGAACTGGGCACCACCACGCCGGGCGAGTTCCCCGGTTTGGCAGGAGTCGGGGAGACCTTCAGAAAGGAGACCATCCAAGCTTAGCGCAGGGGCCCCAGAAGTGACCTAACGCAAAGCGAGTGTAAACTGGACGGACAGCTAAGCAGGAAACACTGGCGCTCGGAGAGGTTCTGATGTCCTGATCACCGCCGAAAACCTCGACACACCGTAAGCTCTTTAATAGGTGAACCACCAGAACGCGTATTTTGATGTTCACATTCACTTGGGATGAATGCGATATTACTTCCAGAAAATTTTCAGATAAAATGCAGCGACGGCACTACAGAATACTCGCATCGCAGGCCCCATCGACAAAAAGAAAAATAAAAGAGCGGAATAGAATGAAAGGTCTCTTCATAACGGGGAGCCCTGTAGAGACGCCTGGATCCCCCGGACGTGCGGGCTCAAGGTCAGAACCAGAGGGACAAGTTCTCCAAGACTCGGAGGCTCACCGCCACAACCCCGGTTGATGCCTTTTTGTTTGCCCCTTCATAAGGACTAAATAACCTGCTTGGAATTCCTGGGGACTAATTTCTAATAAAGGAGCCCTTTAGGGAGCAGTTGTCCAGCCTCTGGTTTATGTTCGCTTTTCCAGGTTTAGGAAGTTCACCTTTTCTGAGTGAGTGGCCCCAGTGCTGAGCACAGAGGAGAGGAAGCCCGCAGCTCGCCCCGCAGCCGGGCAGCCCGAGCGGGAGGGGGATGTGGAGAGAGGGGGAAACGCGAGTGTGGCCCGAGGAAACGGTGACATTCGTCTGAGCCCACTACCGACCTGGGACTCTCGCCTTCCCCCACGTGCAACAGCAGCTCCCTGGCCGCGCGACTCAGAAAACAGGAACCGAAACGGCGCGCGCCCTAATCCTATTTGGCCTCTTCCCGCCCGATTTGCCGCGAGCTCACGCCCCTCCTCCAAACCCAAAAGATTTCTTCGGGCCGAAAACGCCCCTTTCCCGCCCCCTCCCTGTACTAGTGAACGGGACCGGCTTGAGTTCTCGCGAGAGATCCTTCCCCTCCCCCAGCTAGTGAGTGCGCGAACGGGAAAGGAGGAGGGCGCTCCAGGCGAAAGCGCTGCAGACGCCATTATCCTCTGTTTCTCTGCTGCACCAACCTCTACGTCTTGCTTACGTCCCGCTTGTTTACAGCCTATAGGTAATTGGGGTTATTGGGACTTGGGTATTACAGACTCAGGCAGGGGATTAGCCTCCCTAACGGCTGCGTTGACTTCCTCCAGGTCCGGTTTTCCTCGGGCCCTTAGCGGCCTCACAGCCCGAAGGGAGGCGCCGGTGGGAGGCGGGGGTGTCGCCTTCCTCTGGCGCTTTGATTGACGCGGCCTTCGACCAATCGCTTCGCCTAGGCGCCACCGCTGAAGCCCAAGCAGCCAATCGGGCGCGGCGGCGGCGTAGGAGAGCGCGGGAGGCGGGGGAGAGCGGGGCCCTGCGCTCGTTTTCTGTCTAGCTGTGACCGGTTGAGACGGCGCGGCGGCATAGGGACGACGACCTCGCGCGGTGAGGAGCCGGGCTAGGCGGACGGCGCGTGAGGGCGAAAGTCGGAGGCTACTCTTGCCGCTTGAGGGAGGCGTTTGGGGGGCTGCTTGGTGGTTGGCCGGTTCTCAGCGAGGAAACGTTGCCCGGTTCCCCTCCCCCCACCTCCGCCATTTCCCTGAGCGTATATCCGCAGTCCGCGTTGGGGTACTGGAGGCTTCGGGGCGCTACGAGTCATGTGCCTGCAGGATGAGCTGTAGTTTTGTTGTCTTG